GAGAACTTACCAGTCCAGATTTTTGGTTTTTGTTCGGTTCAAAACAATGCTCACAGTGCAGGGAAGGTTTCTACGGTGTCTGAAATGATATTGGAAGAGATGATGGTGAGTTATTTCGAAGAGGAGATGAAAGAGTGCAGAGAAAATGCAGAGAAGATGGAAGATCAGAATTCGAGAGGAAGATGATGATTGCATGGAAGGAAGAGAAGTGTTTTCAGAGAAATTGTTTTTTTCTCTTCCTCGTCAAACGGTTGAGCAGTTACACACTGCCACCTGGTTTCCACTACAGCTTTTAGAAGCTTCCAAGATGACATATGGCATTCAGTGCATGCTGAGAGAAAGTGAATGGATTTTGACGTGGCAAGGTGCAGTAAAAGGTGATCAAAGAATGGATTAGTGTGCATTAGTTTATCAGGTTCTCACACGAGTTTACGATTTTACTATTTTTATCGAATTAATTGTTAACTTAACATTAAAATATCTTTGACAAATATTTTATCTTAACAACTGATATAAATTCAAATAAAATATAATGGGATACTTGCATAAATTTCAAACAAAATTTAAATAAACTAAAATTAATATTAATACAAGTAAAATACAAAAGTAAATATTAAATCACACGATATAATTATATAAATTAAAACATAATATAAAAATATTTTGATAAATTAAATATTATTAATTATAAGTATATATAAATATAAATACTATCATACTTGTATCACTGCATTAACATGTAGATATGTTGTTATCTTAAAAGGCTTAATATCCTATTTTGTCTCCAGTTTCGTTCGACAATGTTAAATTAGTCAATTCTTTAAAACGTGCCTCAATTACGTCCTTATTTAATAAAATTTATATCAATGAAATCCCTTCCGTTAAATCCGTACAAACGACGTTAATAGAAGAAAGAGAAAAATAATTAACGCTGTTTGTACGGATTTAACAGAAGGAATTTCATTGATATAAATTTTATTAAGTAGGAACATAATTGACGCATGTTTTAAAGGATGAACTAATTTAACATTGTCGAGCGAAATTAAGGACAAAATATAGTATTAATCTTAAAATATATATTTATGGTATGTATTTCCTATCCATCCGTATCTTTTTTGACATCCAAATCGTGATTTGTTTTTTGAGAAAAAAAAGAGTTTTTTACCCAACAAAATAATAATTTCCATGCTTTTCACGCAGTTGATTTATATCTTCAATCATATTAATTGGTAAAAGTGAAGGGCAAATTTATAAAAGGAAAAGGGTGAGCACACATTTTTTTGTTGACATGTGTTTTGCAGTTACGTTACTGTTTTATGGCCCACAAAATGATTGTTTAGATTTGCTCAAAACTGATGTAAGTGGGGCCCACCGGGCCCGTTAGGTAGGCCCATCCTTTCACTAGCGCCAAATGGAAGAAATCACCTGTGGCTGAGACTATTCTTATTCTCAAAGTTATGGATAAGCCTTACAGAATTTTCAAGCAACCTCATTCGATTTGTTTTACCTACATGCACAAAATATTTAAATTATTATATAAAAATAAAGAGATTGTATACCGTTATAATATCATAAATTGTTATTTGTAGTATATTTTACCTATTAATTATTTTAACAATGTTTTTTATTGGTTAACTGTCTGAATTATTATAAAATTATGCTAAAAATTATGTAGTAAGCTAAATATTATTTAATAGAAAAGAGTTGCATTAGATTAATTCCGACAAGGTTGTGTTCGTTCTTGTTACATGGGCCGGCTCCGTTTTCACATTGGGCCGGACCGGCCGGTTGACGTTGATGTGGGACCCACTTTCTTCTTGAATCAAATGATTCAAGCCGTTCTTCATCGGTTCGTGGCCATTTCATTTCATCCACGATATTTTTATATTTTAACAGTACATTCAGGAATTCAGTATTTCTTTTATTTTCACAGGCAATCTCAATTCAAATTTATAAATTTCAGAAAATAAAAACAGAAAAAAAATTATACAAAAATTAAAATTAATCTATTCAAAGGTTAGAAAATAAAATTTTAAAAATGAGATGAAATAATATTTACAAATTAACATATACATGAGTTCATTTTAATTTACATAAACAATTTTTTTCTATCAAAAAATACTTATGAAAAATTTAGTATTAATTGAGCATCTTGACTTGCTGATTTTGTAGTATTTCTCGTACTCTTGGTTAAAATAAACATTATTTGAATATATTAATAGGAGGAAGCAAGAAAATATCTTACGGAATAAGGAAGAGAAAAAACAAATAAAAGGAAACAACTAAAGAGTGATGATACCAACCTACATCCTTTGCCACAAAGATAACGACCATTCACCTTCACGTGCTATGTCATTATTATAATAATAATAATAATAAATAATAATAATAATATTATTATTATTATTTATTTAAGAAAAAACCTAGCTATCAAAACTCATAAAAAGCTACGAGGACAAAAAAGAAAATGTTTATTTCACAATTTCACCAAATTATGAAAAGTACGTATCCATTTTTTTAATGCAAAATGAGTCATTTCTATCCGTTTTAGATCAGAAAAAATGGGATGAGACTTTACATTAACTTTACATATTAAATTATTAACTTTTAAGTAAACTTTTTTTAAAATTAATAATTATTAAGTTTACATATTAAATTATTTCATCATAATTAATAGTTAAATTTTAAATTAATATTTTTTACATTTTTACATCTTTTAAGCAGTATAATATAGAAAACTAATTAAAAAATTCAACCCGACGCATCAAAGATTAATCATACGTAAAACTTACTTAATTGAATTAGATTAAGTTGAATCGTATTTTTTTGAAGCATTTCTTGAATACCTGTGTGGCCACTGTGGCTCCCGAGGCCCAAACAATAATTATCAACCCAAAGTTGAGCCCATAGTTGCTCTATATCTTCATTTTTTTGTTTCCTTTTATTGATTGATTAATGTTAGACAAAATTTGATTAAAGAAAGCAGAGTGATTAAAAAAAATTAAATGGTCAAATTTATAATGATTAGTTATAAGAAGGGAAATAAGATATCTCAACAAGTTAAATTTGTTCAATTTTTATGGTTATTTTGTTGGTAATTTTGATTTTCCTTTTTTCAAGCTAATCGTATCAGTTTATGAGATTTTTTAGAAAATGGGTATGATATTTTGACATTTGATAAATTTTAACATTTATTATAGATTTTTTTATAATAGAAAATATTCTTTTTATAAAAATCATATTACTTGTAAAAAGGGATTATCAAGTGATTAATAAAATCATGAAATAACTATTTTTCTTTAGAAATAACTAAAAAGTAGTGCGTAGAAAATAAAATAAAATCACATTCATCCAATAAGTTAATATGATTTTCATTTAAAGTAAAATAAATCACCTTAAAAATCTAATATCATTAGTTCCAAATATTATACGTTTTTTAACTTTAAAATTATAAACTCAAGTTTTTATGGAAATATTTAAATATAGTTTTTGGAGTCTTTTTCAAAACTATACAAGACTTTATTTAACATGTAGACGATATCTTCTTACCATTTGAATTCCTTTCCATTGTTCCACAAATAACTTAAAAGATTCAGATTTTATCCTGTTTGTTCCTAATAATTTTCATTTTAATATGACATACATTTACAACTTAAGGGAAATATTAAAATTAAGACATTTTATTAGTTAAATTATAGTTTCGTAGTTTTATGTACAAAATATATAATAGAAAACTTCCATTTTAGTTTTTATAAACCTTTTTATTTAACTATTAATCTGTGGAATATATATTGTATACACCAATATATCAAAGAAAAAATATATAATAAATTATTTTTCAAGTAAACTAAATGAGAAATAACAGTTTAGTCAAATTGAAGCACACATCTAATCACTGGATTAACATGTTGGTGTCTCTTATTCAACGTGAATGAACTTATACCGAACATTAAGGACAAAAACATTGATTAGGCTTGAGGCTTATCTCTTGCAGGTTTCATACACCTACTAATGATAATCCATTATAATATCTAAAACTTGTTTAACCATATATCTATCTTTATAATTCAGGCAGAAACAGTAAATGGCAGAGCAAAGCATGAAAGAGGAAAGTGCAGAGGAAGTAGTATCTGATGAAGAAGCTTATCTGTTTGCCATGGAGCTAGCTGGTGCCTCTGCTGTTCCCATGGTTCTGAAGTCAGCCATTGAACTTGGCATCTTGGAAACCATAGCCAAGGCTGGTCCTGGAGCTCATCTTTCTCCTTCTGAAATAGCTGCTCAGATACCAAATATAAAGAACCCTAATGCACCTGCTATGTTGGACCGCATGTTCCGCCTTTTGGTTAGCTACAACATCCTCAAACTTCGATTCCCCGATGATAATATGGCTGAAAGGCACTATGCTCTTCACCCAAAAGCCAAATACCTTGTCAACAATCAAGATGCTGTCTCTGTGTCTGCTTACTTTCTCATGGAACACGACAAAGTCCTCACAGAAATGTGGTATTTTGTTAACATTCTAACTTTTGTTGTAAAGTTACTGATAAAATTTCTTGTTGAATCTACTCGAGAAGAGGTTGATTTAGGACACACAATCATCAATTAGATATGGATCCAACTATAAACAATTGAGAGTATTTTCTATTCAAAATTTTAAGGCAATAGGTTAACGGGTATTTCGTCTTTGTATAATGTTCTACTTTCTCAATTTTTTCTCATTTTTTGATACTTGAACTCATACTTGGATTCTCAACATTTTTATGGAGTTACTAAGATAGGGAATTTTATGAGAAGATGCAAGATTGCAGATAGAGAGAGTTTAAAGGATTGTGTTGTTTTGCAGGTACAAGTTGACAGAATCAGTTGAGGAGGGTGGATTTCCATTTAACAATGCTTATGGAATGAATGCCTTTGAGTTCCATGATGCAAATCCAAGATTTAATAGGCTTTTCAATAAGGGGTTGTCTGATTGCTCTAGCATCACGATGAAGAAAATTCTTGAGATTTACAAAGGGTTTGAGGGTGTTGGATCTTTGGTTGATGTTGGGGGTGGAACTGGGGCTATCATCGGCATGATTGCCTCCAAGTATTCCTCCATAAAGTGTCTTAATTTTGACTTACCCCACGTTATCAAAGAAGCTCCATCTTATGCAGGTTCTTTTCACTTTTTACCACCATGGGAACTGCTTAGCTGTTTAAGCTTTTTAATCAAATATATATTGTAACCACTTGTTAATTATGCATTCTTTTATGTTGTTGATCTTGACTTTGTGTTAATTAATATTCGATAATTTAATTTTGTTTGACTTTTAAAACATTAATATTACGTGTGATATTAGTGCAGGTGTGGAACATGTGGGTGGAGACATGTTTGTGAGTGTTCCAAAAGCTGACGCTATTTTTATGAAGGTGTGTATTAAAATTTGAATCTTTTATAAACATCTTTGTCCAAATTTGATGAAAATGTTGAAGGTTCGAAGAGAGATAAAACTCGGATATAAATTGATATAAATCTCATTTTATGAATTGATTTTGTAGGATTGAGTTAATTATAGTTTACTTCTTCATATAGTATCAAAGTAATGAATTATAACTTATCATAACAAGATTTCTTGTTTGTTAGGTCTATTATACCTCCTATTATTAAGATATTTGTTTTTTGTTGGGTACTGTTTCATTTGCTTTTGGACCACCTATTAGTGTCTAGTCTCACCAAATGTATATTCTTCAATTTGATAAATGTGTTATAAGTCTCACATCTACTATAAATAAGGCCAGTTTAAAGTATATAAATAGGTACAAACCTCACTTGGTTTCGTAGAATTGGCTTAAAGTCCACTTCTTAACAGAAAATAATTTTTTTTATGTAGTGGGTATGCCATGACTGGAATGATGAGCAATGCTTGAAATTGTTGAAGAACTGTTATGATTCTCTTCCTGACACTGGAAAGGTTATTTTAGTTGAAGGGCTTATTCCAGAAACCCCAAATTCTAATTTAGCTTCAAAGTGTGAGTTTCAAATGGATATTGTGATGTTGTGTCATAGCCCAAATGGAAAAGAGAGAACAGAGAAAGAATACAAGGCTTTGGCTAAAGGAGCTGGATTCCATAGTTTCAGAATAACATGTTGTGTTTTCAATACTTATGTTATGGAGTTCCTTAAAAAGGCTTAATTCTTATCTTCTCCCACTTGTGTTGCAGTTATGTTTTGAAAATAATTTGTTGGCTACAAAGGTTTCCTCCCTCCTATATATGTTTCCTTTGTTTTTATTATGACAAATCAATAAAGATGTTATAATCATACATTATCAACTATAAAATGTTAATTACATCCTTTACCACCATAAATTTAAAATATTATTGGTTATGATTTTGTCGTTAAAAGATGTCTTGTAGCCAATAACAGCTTTTTCCCTTTGTATCCAACAAATTATTCTCAAAATATAACTCTAACGCCATTGGAAGAAGGTAAAATTTAAGCCTTTTTAAGGAACTTCATGACATAAGTATTGAAAACACAACACCTTATTCTAAAACCATGGAATCTAGCTCACCATAAAAGATGTTGTGTCATAGCCTAAATGGGAAAGAGAACAAAGAAAGAGTACGAGACTTTGACTATAGGAGCTGCATTTCATGTTTCATAATAGTATATTGTGTTTTCAATATTTACGTTATGAATTTTCTTAACAAGGCTTAATTCTATCCTCTCCTACTTACGTTGTAGCAATTATGTTTTGAGAATAATTTGTTGGTTACAAATCAATAAAATTATAATCATACATTATCAACTATAAAATGTTTATTACATCTCAATCACCTTAAATTAAAAATATTGTCTATACTCTTATTTATTGTCATTTTGTCTTAATACAGGTAGGAGAAGATAAAAATTAAGCTTTTCTAAGGAACTTCATAGTGTAAGTATTGAAAATACAACATACTATTCTAAAACCACATAATCTAACTCACCATAAAAGATGTTCTGTCATAGCTCAAAATGGAAAAGAGAGAAAAAAGGAAGAGTACGAGGCTTTGGCTAAGGAGCTGGATTCCATGGTTTTAAAATATCGTGTTTTTAATATTTATATTATGGAGTTTCTTAATAAAACTTAATTCTTATATTTTCTCACTTGGGGGTTGTAGTTATGTTTTGAGAATAATTTGTTGGCTAAAAAAGTTTCTTTCCTTCTATATATGTTTTGTTTGTTTTTACTATGACAAATCAATAAAGATATTATTATCATACATTATCAACTATAAAATGTTAATTACATCATCAATCACCATAAATTTAAAATATTGTCTGCAATCTAATTGGTCATGATTTTATCTTTAAAAGAAATCTCTATACATAAAAAAAAGAAAAAATATTTAAAATGTGTTCGACTTTGGTTCCTAAACTAACATGAGATTATTAACTGTTATAGAAACAACTTCTATTTTAGATTTCTATAAAAGAAATTCTAAATATTAGACATATTTAAATAATTTTATTAAAAAAATATATTACGAAATCAAAATGAATAAAATAATATAATTTGGATTAGTAGTTAAATAGAACATTCAGTAACAGTTTATCTATATTAGAGTATAATGAATGAAGGATAAATACTAATATTGTGAAAAGTTCCGCTGTTTATATCATGGGAAGATGTTGTATAAACTTGTTATACATTCTATATTTTAGAGATAATTTCTAAAGCAATAAGAATTATCCTTTTATTGATGATATGATGTGATATTATATTGTTGTTGCTAAATTATTAAAAGATAAAATAAGTTTATTAGGTCTTATATTTATTTGTTATTTTATGTAAATAATAAAATAATTAAATAGGATAAACATATTTATACTTTATGAACAAATAATTCAATGTATAATATATGTATTTGAGATGACTGTGAAAATAATTAAATAGGATACACATATTTATACTTTGTTAGAAGTGATTTAAAAATAGTTAATTTTATTTGGGTTGTAGAGAATTAACTTTTAGTAGCAAAAAGTATATCTGAAATTGAAAAGAAAAAAACGGTTGAAAAAAAAAAAACACAACCTACAAATTATCAGATTTATAAAATTAACCTATTCTTTTATAAAAGGTTTTTACAGATTTCAACTTTTATCCTAACAAATAAAATTAGAAATACAAACATTTTTTTATCCAAATCGATTAAATCTTTTAAAAATCCATCATTCATAAACGTGGAACTAGACTAAAAATTTCTATCAAAAGTAAAATTATTTGAATACCCATTGATTGAATAAAAAATATAGTTATAAATAAATCTACATAAATATCAAATTGGAATATTTCTAATCCATGATTGTTATTAGTGTACTCTTTTTAGGTATGTTTCTCTGGAACGCCTTAGTTACTTAATTTCACTATATTTGTAATTATATAAAATAAAAAACTGGTTATATAATAAAAATATATAATTTTAAAGACATATAATTAAATACAAATATTATTTATTATATTAAATTATTTTTTAAAATAATTAAAAAATTTAATCATACACATAATATTTTATTCTGACTAGTGCCTTAACAAGCTATGATTTTTTTAAGATTACATGTTATGATTCCTTTACTTTATATACCCGAAAATAAAAATGAATTGTGGATATCAATATATGATAAAGATATTATACAAAAAAATATATTTTTTTTCTTCATTTACACTGATAAAAATAAATGTTATTATTGATATTATTATTATAATTATTATTTTTATATTTATATCTGATCTGAACCAAATTGGTGATCTATCACAAAGCATACACAGAGCTTCCGAACTCATCTTAGGATGGTTTTGTTTGCACACGAGGCCGAGAAGAGTTAGTAGTTTGAAAACCATCTTACGTGTCGAGATTTAATTGGACGAGTGACCAGAACTCTCCAATCACAGACTGAAACGTGTAAAAAGAGAAAGGTTGTACAACGACGCCGTTTCCAGTTTCGGCAAGCACGTTGAGATTAAAAATCAGCCGCTGCGTGTCGTGTTTCATATTTTTCGTCAAATTTCCGAGAAGAGCCAGTCACAAAGGTATTTTTGTCTGTGTTATGATGTTTTGATTCTGTGGATCCGTGATTTTGAGATGAGTATCTGAATTAACCTATTGTTTGGCAGATGAGATTACCATCGTTGAGGCATGCTTTGGTGTTCGTGTTAATTGGGGCATTGTGGAACTTGCAGAGGTCGGAGGGTATTCGATTTGTGATAGACAGGGACGAGTGTTTCTCCCATGATGTCAAGTACGAGGGTGACACTGTTCATGTCTCTTTCGTTGTTATCAAGGCTGATTCTCCCTGGCATTATGGCGACGAAGGTGTCGATCTCGTGGTATGTTATTTTTTTCTTTTTTCCTCTTGCTCGATCCTTTTGTGAAACCGATATTATTTTGTTTTACCTTAATTTTGTGTTTCGTAACTCTTAATGAGAATTTATGGGAATTTGTTTCAAAATTCCGATGAGGCAGGGGAATAGAATAGAACCATAGGCGTCTATACAAAGTCAAAACCAACAATCATTGGTTTCTCTTACGCGTACCTGCTGTCGGCCGTTGGCTGTTGGCTGTTGGTTTAGGGTTTTATTTTGGAACAACCATCAATTTCATCCTTGAAATATTACCCTCTCTGCTAAATGATCCCTAAATGCAAAAAAATAAATTCCATCTACGTAATTTCCCAAGTGTTAGTTTATCCAAATAATAAAAAGTCCTTCAAATTGGTCTCTGAAATTCACAAAATTCATCCAATTAGAGATTAAATATGTTTAAGAGAGGGATTACTTATGCATTATAGTTTTATATTTTCCGAGAATACTCTCTTAAAAGAGGGAGTAATACTTGAGAGACGAAATTGATGGTTTATTCATTTGTGTTGTCAAGCTAAATATATTTTGTACCTCTCTCTGTTCATACCTAAGGTGGCAGAAGAATATTCTGTGATTGTCTTCAGCACAACCATGATGTTTTTTTTGTTTTAAGATCTTAGGATCTGTTGGTAAACATGAACCCCATTCTGGGAACTTTTATTCACTGCCCATGCTGAAGTATTTGGAGGGTGTTATAGCAAATGTTTGTACATGGTAAACACCTAATGGAGCAAAAAGTTATCCACTGTTAGGATATAATTTACGGTGCAAAAGGGTTAAATTTTTTTCTTAGTAACAAAGAGTACTTATAGTCATAGAGATGTTGTGAATGTATGTAGCTTTTTATATTACATTTACAATTATGTATAAATGATCCACATTAAACGTGTACTTTTTGTATTTTTGTGCTACAATCTTTGAATATTTATATCTCTAGCAGCTGTACTAGTCCACATTCTGCATACACAATTGATAGGAACAGCCTTTCTTTGAAACTATGTTCACTTTCCTTTTCCTTGGTACCCTACACGATCATGTGTTGGAATCTCATTGCACCACAATGTGAGAATTTCAGGTAAAGGGTCCCTCTGGTGAGCAAATTCAAGATTTTCGGGACAAGACCAGTGACAAGTTTGACTTCGTGGCTCACAAATCAGGGGTTCATAAGTTCTGCTTCACTAACAAGTCTCCTTATCATGAAACTGTCGATTTTGATGTACATGTTGGACACTTCTCTTACTTTGAGCAGCATGCAAAAGATGGTAATGCCTCTTCTATGAAGTCCACTTTCTTTATTTTTCTCGTGTAAACATTGCTGTTTAATTTCATGGAAGTCTGTAAAGCGAGGGAATTTTTTTGTTGAAACTTCTGTGACTGTTTTTGCAGAGCATTTTACCCCCTTGCTGGAGCAAATAGGAAAGTTGGAGGAAGCTCTATACAACATTCAGTTTGAACAGCATTGGTTAGAGGCTCAGACTGATCGCCAAGCAATAGGTAATTATTTAAGGTTTACTTTTATGTTTATCATACGATTTTCTTTTTCTCTGGATACAATTTTTCATGTTCATCAGTTAAACATATAATTGTGCTAAAGACAAACATACCTTGTTTCTGTATGCACTCTTGTTTTATGTTCTTGATACTATTTTATATTAAATTCTTGTCGCCATGTGATCATCCTAATTTATTCAGCTACCATACCAAAAGAGACCACCCTGTTGAGAACACTACTTCCTATCTTTTTGATTGTGTTCACTGGCTCTCCTTTGATGCGATGGGATGCAATGCACGCACTATTCTGATTGATGGGAAATAGCTGTTTCAATGCACCCTTTGCATATATTCCAAAGTTGTGTTTAGTGAAATGGAACACACTCGTTATTGGTTGAATGTCCATTTTTTGGCTTATGATCTTAAAAACAAAACCAACAAACTGAGCATCTTTGTCTTGTTTTCTTCTGTTGTTAACTCTTTCTTGACTGCAGATGAAATATCATATTGACTTACGTTTGGAATATGTATGCAGTGAACGATGCAATGAGCCGAAGAGCAGTACACAAGGCAATTTTTGAATCAGCCGCACTGATTGGGGCTAGTGCGATTCAAGTCTACCTTCTACAGCGATTGTTTGAACGAAAACTGGGTACCTCAAGAGTTTAGAGCTTCCAAATGTATTCAGAACCTGTAACAGTACAGACGATAATGATATTTTGAACTTTTTTTCTTCTGTTTTCATCACTTGGATATTTATATAACTAGTTCTACATATAATACCTGTGGAAAGATGTTATTTAATGTTAATTATAGTTCATTTCATTTGCCATACTTTTCAATTTATTTACCCTGCTTAAGCTGCTACGGCGTTAGAGAAATTGTTATGCACACTTCGTGGCAGATTTGCAGTGGTAACGATATTCTTGAGTCGCAGCATATTTAAGAATTTATTATCGCTTAATATAACCAAGAGAACAATTAGCATTGACCATTGAGATACCAAGTTTCGATAACATGGCAGGAGATTTTCTCTATTGTATAATGCACCTGGTGAAAGGATAATTTAAACTTTCTAAATTGATAGAATATGTGCCAAGCAAGGGGCATTATTCATCATTTTGAATCAAAATGCTATGTAAATTTAATTTTAACTGAGGATAGGTAAATCATTTTTAATTTATACACTTCCGGTATAAACCCCTTTGGATGTACGTATTTTTCAATCAAACGTAGGAAAATTGGTTGACCATGATCTGTATCAGGGTAAAATCGATTTTCAAATTTCAGAAAAGCTCGATTCATTTTTTCTTAGCTACCTTTTTTGTCGATGAAACTTAAAGTACAAATAGAGCCCTTGGATTGCTTTCTTTATATAATATTATATATTATTATTATTTGCTTAATGGGACGACAGAAAGATGGCAAACGATGCCATCTACGTCCACAAATAAGAACACAGTTACATAAAATTATCAAATTCCTCTTTACATGAATAATAGAGGGAAACTTGAATGGATAAAAAAATTAAAAAAATCTCGAGTGGATGAGGTGTGAAACCAATAATTTTTGAACACACCCCAGAAATCGCATGTTTCAATGCGATATTCGTTTCCTAGTCAAGCCATAATGTACACTAAGTATGTATATATATGATCAAAGATTCCAGCAGGACCCACCATAGCTTTAATGAAGCTCCGGAGTCCCATATCATATTTCTAAACTGTCATGAACTGAAAAGCCTCCTCATGGCTCTGCAGATCTGGTCATACAGCAGAACCATTTTTTCTGCAAAATAAAACGGACGGAAGTAAAAGCCCTTAAGTCACTCAGCATTTCAAGGATTAAGAGTTTAAAATATGTTTGTCCAGCATAATGTCTAGACATTTAAGTCACATATATAAATGGTCAGTTTTGAAATCACAATTTCATTCACACGTCACAGAGACACCAAGAGATCAAATGCAACAACTACATATCTAATCAAGTACTTTTAGACAGTCTTTTGTTGCATTAAGAAGAAAATAACCAAAAATTAAAAAACTTCGTGTCCTAAATTTTTTAAAAAAGTGAATAGATTTATGACATGGTGTCAGTACTACGTGGATCTATCATCATTGACATGGTAGGCTCTATCAACACCAAAAATTTATAGACACATTATATTATGGTTTAATAGACCTTAGTTGAACAAATCCTAATCAAAGATAATCATAAACAGACACAATCCACAATTTCAGACGACAGAAAGCATGAGCGATCTTCATGATCCAATTTGAGAATAGGACGATGGCATAAACTGTTAAATTTCTACCAAAGAAATGGACATTTTCTGAAGCTTCAAATAGTTATTTTCGTATTGATTTCACCTTTTTCCTTAAATTGATTTCACCAAACCAAACAAAAGCAGAGGTTGTAATTTATTAAGATCTCTTCCACTTCATCATAAACACTCACAAAATAAAAAAATAAAATAAAATCATTTAAAGCTTTAGTAAGAAATCTCCCCTCTGACGTTTTTTCTGAGTGATTTAGGAAGAAATTTATTCAAACATACCAACTTGAAACATTAACGAATAAAAGTTAAAAAAGAGAAAAACTTACATAATGGGATTTGCGAAGTGCATCATGAGCGTTGTAGTTTGGTGAATTGCGACGCTTAGGGGGTAAACTGACCTTAGTACCATACTTCCTCTCATTCCTGGCTTTGTTGAAGATTACAGAGAAATCATTAGCCGATGATGGATCGGTCACATCCCATTCCCCAAACTTAGGCAATGGTTTACCCTTCTCCTGAAAATAATCATGCATTGCAATCCATGTTCATAGTCAAATTCAAAATGAAATCGAAATTAAAATTGAAAATGAAATGCATAGTTACCGCCATGGATGGATGGTTGTGGCTTCACTGGAACTGAATGTATGTATATATTTTTTACGTAATGCAATGTTTTTGTTTCCACCTTCTTCTTTTCCTTGATTTTGAGTTTCCAAGGAGAAAGAAGAAAGAATTAGAGAAACAGAGAAAAACAGAGAGAGTGGGCCAAATATAAATCAAATTTGTGAGGCCCACCTTTCCACCCTTTCCAGCCAATCGCGCTCAACCATCAAAATCTTTCTCTTTTATAATAATAATAATAATAATATAACAAATTTTATAACTATTTTCTTATCTATTATTATAATATTAAAGAAATTAAAAAATATATCTTTATTTATAACTTTTTATCATTTTAATATAAATTTAATAATTACTTTCATTTTTAATCATTACTATTATAATTAATTTTCGGATCATATTTTTTATTATTTATTATAAAGGAAAAGTAGAAGCACGTATCCCATGTACCTATTTTAAACTACTGCTACTAATATTAACAAAAATAAAAAACAGATATTTCTTCTCTAAGTACACCTCGTTCTTTACGTTTCATTTAACTTTTTTAAAAAATGATAAAAATATATTAATATAGTTTACATAATTAAACCGACGGACATAAAACTACAATAAACTTTTCTTTTTTCTTATTTGTTTAAAATTAATTCTAGAGATATATGTTGATGTAATACTAATTCACATTTATTGTTCGTCATTCTAATTAAAGAATTAATAAATCAAATTTTTGTATTGGCAATACGTTTACAAAGTTAGTTTCACACAGTTAACAATAACAAAAAATATACTTTTGTATTATTAGCTGTTTTAACACAAAAATATTTAAATTAATTAAAAACACATAATAGAGTATACTTAAATGGTTTTTAATCAATATCGTTATAACACTAATTAACCAGATTTTTTTTTAAAAAAAAATAAGTAGTTTTTTTAAGATGAAAGCGGTAATCCGTTTTCATTACTAAAGTAGGATTAAAAATGCGAATAAAAAATCATAGATTGAAAAAGTAAATTAATAAATTAAATTTAGCATGCATTTGATTTATAATAAGAAAACTATTATAATCCATAATCAGGGGGCTGTAACGTTACGCAGAGCTCAAAGCGAAAGCAGGAGGAGCGCGGGCGAGCACGACGAGCGCGCGAACCAGGCGAACGGAACGTAACCAGCGAACGGCGAGCGCGAACCAGGCGAACGGCGAGCCCGAAAGTCAGCCAACGAAGCGCGACGGCGCCCTAAACTCAAAACGACTAGCTCTTCGATTACACCGAACTCGAAAACCGAGTTTGCCGCGAGTTTGATAACCTTGGTTGTAACTCTTGCTTGATTACTGTTTCAAAGTGCAATCGCGTGATGTAAGTGAACACTTGCTACTAATTCATATTCTATCTTAAGTAATATATTGAAATCAACACTGAACACTTGCTACTAATTCATATTCTATCTTAAGTAATATATTGAAATCAACATTGGTTCTCAAATGCTCGCGGCATTACGATTGTTTGTACAGGTCGAGGATTTGTGTGAAGAATCTTCTTAAACATGTTGCGGAGGATGAACTACGGGAATTCTTTTCTGAGAAAGGAATAATCACTGACGTCAAGCTCATGCGTACCAAGTAATATACTACGTACTTTCTCTCCTCGAATCGCTCTATCCTTATTAAAATTTTATTAAAATTGAAATTGCAACTATTCTATTTGGTTTTGACTTGTTTTTTAATTCAGAGATGGTAAGGGTAGGCAATTCGCGTTTATAGGGTATCGAACAGAAAAGGAAGCTCATCAAGCCATTCGATATTTCAATAATTCTTTCCTTCGCACATCTAAAATTACATGTGAGGTCTGTTATATGTGCTAATTTTTTCTTATATGTTTTACTATGTTGTTTTTTTGTTCAAATTTGTGTTGTTGAAACTGAAAGCCATGACAAGGGTTTTACAATGTTCTTCTCATTAACCAAGCAGGTAGCTCAAAAACTTGGGGACGAAAATCTTCCTCGTCCATGGAGTCGCCATTCGAAGAAGAAAGACGACAAAGGGACTGTGCCGGATGTGGGGAAACCTGCTAGAGCTAAGGGCTGGAAAGAAAATTTGAAGAATGGTGTGGATGTTGATGACCCACAGCTTCAGGATTTTCTTCAGGTCATGCAGCCTCGGGTTAACTCTAAGATGTGGGCAAATGATACTTCCGGTTTGACCAGTGTTGGCAACAACAGAGCAGTCTCAAATAAGGATAATGAAGGTGCATCAGTTTCAACTGATGACAGTGGCTCATTGGAAGATGGATTTCTGGATATTTCCGAACCCAGTGGCAAGTCACATGAGCTTGACCGTGATGAGGTCATTTCAGATATGGATTATTTCAAGAGTAGGGTGACAAAAGAGTGGTCTGATTCTGAAAGTGGTCATGAAGATAATCACGGCAATGATGATAATGATGCCTCACTAATGACAATGATGACAACGATGATAATAGTAGTGTTAATGAAGATGGAAAAAGAAGTCATCCAATAAATCATGCTCGAGAGGTAGACGTAGAGGGCAAAGAAGATACTAGTAGAGAGAAGGTTACCCATGAGAAAACAAATTAACACTGTAATGTAACTTTTTTTGTTTTACTTATATTAACTGATTGGTTGGGACTGAAAAGTAACCCCAAGAGGCCACACACAATCACTATTATACTTTTTTCTCTTGAATGGATTAGTAATCTTGGTTAAAGCAGCCTCTCTCCCTTTTCCAATATAAAAGAAAATCTACAAATGCTAACAATAGGTGTTTCAAAACCTTTACAGTCTTGATTAATTGATGGTTATTTAATTGTTTGATATACAATTCAATGTAGGGATGCTCCACTATACTTGGAGTGAGCTCCTTCCAATATTCTTAGTCAAAGTTCAACATCAAAAAATGATGACATGAATGGTGCAATTGGTGAAAATGATGCCAAGAGGCAGATATTGGAGCAAAACGTGGAAAGAATAACAGATTTNACAATCACTATTATACTTTTTTCTCTTGAATGGATTAGTAATCTTGGTTAAAGCAGCCTCTCTCCCTTTTCCAATATAAAAGAAAATCTACAAATGCTAACAATAGGTGTTTCAAAACCTTTACAGTCTTGATTAATTGATGGTTATTTAATTGTTTGATATACAATTCAATGTAGGGATGCTCCACTATACTTGGAGTGAGCTCCTTCCAATATTCTTAGCGAAAGTTCAACATCAAAAAATGATGACATGAATGGTGCAATTGGTGAAAATGATGCCAAGAGGCAGATATTGGAGCAAAACGTGGAAAGAATAACAGATGTTGATATTGATCCAGACAGAGTAGAGGTCTGACCTATTAAATCCTTTTCTTTTGATATTCTTTTCGTTTAATTGTGTTCTATTTTCTGATCTGATGTATTAGTCTTTTTGGGGGATAAGAAAATGAAAGATAATGTAAGTATAAACATAAGCAGAGATGTTTTAGGTCTTTTTATATGGTAGTGACAACAAAACAGGATAAAAATGAGACCATTCAACATTTACTACCCTTGAAAGTCCAATACGGGAGAAAATTATTTGATACTAGAAAAATACTTAAGTCATGCGGTCATACAATCAAGGCTATAATTATTCGAAAAAGAACAGATATTGGAAATAAGAATATATAGCGCCCCTTAATTTTGCAAATGAAGATTTTTCTTTCCTTTTTTTCTATTTATTGTGACATAAGTATTTATCCCATAAGCATTTGTAACTTTTCTTGAAGGTCCCTACATTTAAATGTTTTTTGGCCCATATCTATTCTTTCGAGGTTCTTCATATCTATGTAAATAAGAACAGTTTTGAAAATTTCATTTTCTGAGATGATTATAATATTGAAGGGTATGGGTTCCCTGAAAGGAGAGGTATGTTCTTGCCTCATATATGTTCCAGGATTCTGCTTGATAACATACACAGTCTCTGGCTTGTCCAGTCTCTACCCTCTCCACGTGTCATATGATTGAAATTATCCTTTAGCTAGACTGTCTAGTCAGTATGATACTGAGCATTTTATATTCAAAAAGATAATGCTGCCATGCCTTGTAAAATAGTGAGAAATGAGAATTTGATTTCCGAGTCCTTGCTAATAATGATATTAGTCATTGTCTATTTTTTAATTATGCTGCTACTTTTTAGAAGTATTCTATATGCTTGAAACTAGTTGCTTATAACTAATCCATCATGCTTGTTCTTCATCACTAACTATTGACTAATCTGTCATGCTTTAGGCTCGGTCCCTATTTGTCAAGAACATAAATTTCAAGACAACAGATGAAAATCTGAGGAAACATTTTAGTGAACTCATGAAAGACGGAAGAATTTTGAGTGTGAAGGTACTTTTTAATTGCTAACACTGTATGTGTTAGGAACCTTTGTAAGAATCCTATCTATCTCCCTTACACTCACACCTCAGTACTCTAACAGAAAGCAATTGAAAAAGAAATGATTTGTATTCACATCAAAGAATCAAGAATACAATTGGGAAACCAGGAGCTTAACCTACCTCACCAAGTCTAAACTGGTCTGTAACTCAAGAGTAAAAAAATGTCAAACTGAAAACAATAACAGAGGTCCTTTTATAGAGACCTTTTTCCCGCCCCACTTAACTGTTTACAGTTAAGTACTCTGCCTCACCTTTCGCTTCTCATAAACCCTCCAATTCCTAACATTACTCCCCCTTGAGAAGCAACCTTGTCCCTAAGGTTGAACTCTGGAAACTGTTCTTGCATCACCATTCGATCTTCCCAAGTTGCACTTTCCACCCCACCGTCTTGCCATTCAATCAGCACTTGCTCTCGCTGGTCTCCTTCTTGTTGCTGAACCCGTTTATCTAGCACCTTGGATGGCCAGCATGACGGTCCACTCATTTGTAAGTCTGCTGGTAACTCCTTCTCCACTCGATTGGTCCCAATGGCCAACTTTAGCTGGGACACATGGAAGACCAGATGGATTCTCGCATTCTCAGGTAGGAGCAGTCTAAACGCTACCTCTCCTATTTTCTGAATTACTTTGAAGGGCCCGTAATACCTGGCAGATAATTTTGGATGTAGTCTTACTGGCATCGTCGTTTGTCTATGTGGCCTAATTTTTAAATATACCCAATCATCCACCCTTATAGTCACTTGCCTCCTTTTTCGATTAGCCTGCTTGATCATCAGATCCTGAGCTCGTGTCAAGTGGAATCGAAGCTGTTGCAGCGCCTCATCACGCGTCTGAAGTTCCTGTGCTACCGCTTCCACCTCTTCCCTTCCCTTTCGTGACAAAGCGTCCGCTACTTTATTGGTGGTTCCCGTTCGGTACACAATCTCGAAATTGTAGCCAAGGAGTTTAGCGATCCAATGTTGTTGAGCTTGAGTGGTTATCCTTTGTTCCAACAAAAACTTCAAACTCTTTTGGTCCGTGTGCACGACGAACCTCTGACCCAGCAAATACGGCCGCCAGTGCTGGATTGCCATCACCACCGCCATGAGCTCCTTCTCGTAAATCGACTTCCCCAGCGTCCCCTCCGACAACGCCTTGCTGAAGTATGCTATGGGTCTCTTTTTCTGCGTCAGCACCACTCCGATTCCCACCCCTGAGGCGTCGCACTCTACGTGGAAAGGTTGCGTAAAGTCCGGTAACGCTAGCACCGGTGCTGTCGTCACCGCTTCCTTTAGTCTTCCCATCGCCTCCCTGGCCGCCTCTGTCCATATGAAATTTCCCTTCTTCAGCATCTCCGTTAACGGCCTCGCATGTATGGACGTACGTTGACAGGGTCGGCCTAGCACTGGTGCGGTATGGACGTACGTTGACAGGGTCGGCCCCATCTTTTAAAATGATCTGATGTCGCTCGTCCCTGTCAGGAGGCAGTCCGCGGGGTTCTTTAAATACCCCCTCATACTGCTTCAATACGCTCGTCATTTCCTCCTTCTGTTCCACCGTTAGCCCCTCTTCCTCTCTATCCTCCTCTCGTCCCGCTCGTCTACCTTCCAAGCTCCAAACTAAAGCCCATGTCTCGGCCTCATTTATTTTCAACAATTTTTCGGGTTCAATCACCACCCTTCTCTCCAACGTCGGATCCCCTTTTATGACGATCTTCTTCCCCGCTTGTCGGAACGACATGGTGGATTTCCCCCAATCCAGCGTGATCTCCCCCAATTTGGCCAACCACTCAACTCCGAGGATCATGTCTACTCCTCCCAACTCAAACAAATAGAACTTTTCTTCAATCTCAACTCCCCCCATG